TGCCTGGCATAAATTAATAAAAGTATCCTTTGTTCTCTAACTTAGGATACTTCCCTGTGTATTATCTTCATATCCATTGTCAAAGCAAAATAATAATAATAATAATAATAAAATATCAATCATTTTTGCTATATGTTAAACATTCGGGTTAAATATTTTACAGGGAATATTTTGAAACTAATCATTCAAATAATGTTGTAAGTTGCCAAAGTACACTGGTCATTCCTTTATTCTACCTACAGGGAAAAGTCTGGATTTGAGTGTATTGCACAACATTCATGATTCTGCCTTCTGGGCTCCACAGGAATAGGAAAGAGGTCTTTTCAGACCAATCATGGGCAGCCACTGAAAAGGAGGTGCCAGACAGAAAATAGCTACATCTTGTGGGTGAAACAATGTACAAAACACCTCCGGGTATCTTATGGGAAATGTGGACAGCAGGTTCACATGTATCGCTACTCAGATTAAGACTAACTGAAATGTTTCTTTCGATGAATGGTTTCACAGATACAAACATACGTGCTTTTCATGCTAAGAGTATTTATGTCGGCACCGAAACTGGAAACCAGAATTAAATATAATATTCTGAACAATTAGTAAATAAAAACAAATAAATAAAGCAAGCAGCGACATAAAATAACATATCATGTCTATAAAACTCAGCATTATTTTGCCCTCAGTGATATCAAAAAAAACAGAGTAACTGATCATTTTTTCAGTTTAAACATTATTCTAAACCTACTCTAATGACAAATTCCATAACATCTTTAATATTACACAGTCAAGGACAGAATAGCTCTTCATAATATTCTAGCTTGCCAAGAGTTGGGAGAAAGGGTATTCTGAAAGAAAATTTTGGTTTACAGAAACGTATCAATGATTCAATAGAAATGCTCACTTACCTGGTATTAGGTGCCAACCCTCCAGGTGCCACAGAACACAGGCAAGGAATTGCCATAATGCTGACATTCAGGAACTGCCCCTGGGTCACGTGCCACTGAGCATCACCGTCTGCAGACAATGACAGTGACCGGTTACCTTCCCACACTGGAGCAAATGCCAGCAGAACCTGGCTGGATCTCCAGGAGGTACTTTCAGACTCACCAGATTTGGGAGAACCCTGTGCCCTCCTAAAAATAAGAAAAGAAAACAAAGAAAAAATAGCATGTATTAAATATGAGAAAATCATAGAATCCTATATTATATGTTAAATATGTTAAATATTTTCTGACATTAGGCAATAAGTAAAAATATGTGAACAATTCCATTACTAAATTATATTGTGTTGATTCACTTACAGGTAGTATGAGCAGTAAAAAAATTACTTTCTTTTATTAAAAGACTGCAGTACTTTCTTTGGGTGACCTTGATTAATGTTTGTATACCACACTCAACTGAAACTCTCACAAAGACAGAAACTGTGGGTTTTGTTTAGTTGTCTGTTTTTTGGCTCATGTATCCAAAGTGCTTGGAGTGCATTAGGCACATCACTACGCAGCTGCTGAACAGAGAGAGGATGGATGGTTGTTTCAGAAGACAGAAACCAAACTACTGGCTGGCTAGTATCTACAAGACTGCAATTCTGCATTATTGACTAGTCTGTCAGAAAACCAACCAAATATCACAAGCCTAATAAATTGTCAATGTCAAACTATTTTACACTTTAAAGAAAGACACAGAGGTAGATATTACGTTGAGCTGTTTACCTACCTTTCTTGCAAATCTGGAGAGCTGTTCAATGGTAAAAAAGATATTTCACAGTCCTCTGGCCTAAAACACAATGAATTTTATCATTGACAGTCACTGATTCAGGGACAGAAAATTCTTGGTTTAAGAAAAACAAAGGCTTACTTAAGTTTTGCCAGTGCCTTAATTACAGCAAAATCCCTACGTTGGTTAGGGGACATCCATCGATGCTTTTCTGCCAGAGCCAAAGTTCTTCCACCAAAGCCAAACATGGCAGAGAAGCCAAAGCGAAGAAGCCTGCCAGCGGTGCTGAAGGTGCAGACGTCAACAGGCTGAACGTGCCCTTGAGTGTTCCATTAGGTGTCAGTCAAGCAGCAAGGGTGCAGCAGTGCCCGTTGTCCAAATGGCAAACACAGAAGAGAAGAGCATATTTATTTACTTACAGAAGACCTCAAGCTACTTTATACCATGATGAGTGTTTTGCTTTCTCTTCATCTCTCTTTACTTACAATACTGCAATTGCCATTTGCAACTTTTTCAGGTACTAAGAGAAGATACATAAAGAAGTAAATTTTGCAGCTAAGTCATATAAAACATGGCTAGGAAGTGATGTTGTACAATGTATGCAGAGTAAACTTAGATTTAAGAGTAGTTTTGCATTGAACTTGAGCTTTCATCAGTTGGGATAATAAAAGGTCTAGCAGATGTACACTGGCTAAAAAGTGTTACTGTGTGTTTTTTTTTCTTTTAATAACATAATCCTAGCCCTGGAGTCTTGGTACAGTCAAACAGTACTACTTAAATAATGTGTACGGATTTTCTTGACCTGGTTATAAAACTGTGAACTTAAACATCATTGCAACAGTTTTTCTATCAAGATTTTAGCATAGCTTCATTTACTACTCTTTCTAGCATCTGTATTATGAAAAGATAGGCAACCCAAACACTGAAGCTTTGCCTAATTGACTTTTGGTTTTAAGCAAACATTTCTCAGCTTGGAGAGATGAAGAACCTGCCTTTCCTCAGGCAGGCCTGACAGAAATAAAATATCCTTCTTTATATTAATATAAAAACTTCCTTATAAAACAAACTTCTTGGAAATAATTCTTACCCATTATAATGTGCAAAGTTGCAGTTACCACGTGAGCGATTCCATGAAGAGAATGTGCCAATACATTAGTAGAGCCTGCCGAATCAATTTTAACACATGTACAATCAGTGTAGCATATGCTTTAAGTTAACCATTTGCTCCTACTTTATACAATGCCATTATGTAATACTCAGATGATAAATTAATGGAAATGTATGTTTACATTCACAGCTTAGATGCACATCAAATGGTTACTGAATGATTGTTTAATCTTCAAACAGCTTAAAAATTAGAAAATCATTTACAGTATCTTCTTACTTACAGCTTTTTCCATCATGAATGTCTATTTTCTACCAAAAAATATCAGCTGTATCAAAGTCTACTCCTTCCAACTTTAATTAATGAAATGGGCTTCTAACTTTATGGTAAAAGAAGCATTGACAGCAGAAAGGTGTCTCTGGAGAGCAGAGACAGAGGCATAAATACACGAATCATGAAAATCCAAATAATAACTAAGAAAAATATATAAATCACTACAAAGTACAGAAGACATGCTTTAAATACATTTACTGAATTTCAGAGGTAAGCTCTCATCCAAACAGGGATTCCCCTTTATTATCTAACACATGGTATCCTAGGTGAAGAAATTATTTAATTCCATGGTATATGCTATGGTATGAAAACCTGTATTGAGACATTATAGATTTCTGTTAGGATTTTCATAAGCATTAGGATACAAAAACTTAAAATCTACATGAATTTTTCCCACCTACAGAAGGAAAGAGCTCTCTCAAGTCAGCCCCTATAGCATTGATGTCTCTGAGATCTTGGGGTGAGGGCCTGGTTCTGAAAGTCACATACCATTCCCAGGAGGTAAAAGGGTTTCAAATTAAGAAGCTACAAGTTTTCTTCTACTACAGGATATGAGAAAGAATTCCAGTAATCACTCAGGGCTGTGAAAACGTGGATGTATTATGTACAATGACTTTCAAGGCCAAGACTTGTCTTGTGAACCAGGAACACTCATGCAGGAGCATATGTTAGCCTTTGTGGTTTATGTCACTGTGAACCGCCGTGGGCTTGGGTTGCTCAGTTGGAGAAGCAGAGGTAACTCAGACAGTATCAGCCAAGATTGTCATTAAAATAATAATAATCCTTAGGGATCTGCCTAAGCATGAATGATTTTCAGACCTCTAGCAATAGCAATGCAAAGAAAAACTCCACCTTAACCAATTGGTAAACTGGTTCTGAATGCTTGATCAAAAGGCAAGTTATGCTGTGACCCCTGTTACCCAGAATATGGCCCAGAGTCCAGCAGCAATGTCAATACCTTGGTGCTTAAAAAGACCGACTCTCAAGCCCCACTTCAGACCTACTGAGTCAGAGTCTGCGTTGTGTAAGATGCTCAGGTGATGTGCATGCACATTAACCTGGAGAGGCACTCTTCTAGAATACATGGTCCAGGGAGAAACCTTGAGAGCTTATTAAAAAGACAATTTTCTGGGTTCCACCTATAACCCATGGCAGTGGAATGTCTGGGAGGAAGGCCCAGGTAGGTGTTTCTGTTTTAGCAAGTCCGCAAGGTGATCTCCACGCACCCTAAGGTTTGAGGACAAAGGGCCCAGAAACCTGTTACTCTGTGGATCTTTACCCAGGACTAAGATACCGAGTCCCTTCCAATAATCCTTTGACCCTCTACAGCCTGCCTCCTGGCCATCTAACTGCTAATTAATCCAGACTGAGGAGGTGGGGGGGAGGGAACAAATCAATGCACATTTCTTCCCCGTCATATTTATGGTAAAGGTTTTGGAGGGGGCTATATAATTAGAGTGAGATATTTAGGATTATCAATGGATTACAGTACTCCTTGAAACCCATTTCCTCCATTACCATGGTTAATTAGGAATGGCCATAAAAGCATTCCTCTAGAAAGGTTATTAAAAAGCATAATGTAATGTTGTCATGTGCAATAGAGAATGACACATATCATGACTCAAACAATAAAGACTGTTTATTCCCTGTGAGTCTGAAGGATGCAAAGCATGCCCAAGCACACGTGCTTTTAGAATGCCACAGGTCACTTCTCAGGCTTTGCGACTTACCACTGTTCCTTCATTTCATACAGCTTGGCAGTTACGACAGGCATGACCAGAAGTCAGAAAATTATTTTAGTCATTTTCTACTCTAATCAAGTTGTACCTTAATCCTTGAGAATGGTATTTTAAAGACTATACTTTCAGGGATCGTTTCTATAGTTTGTTACTAGAGAGGTTTCCCTGACGGTGAAGAGCACCCGAAACCACGAGGAGGAGACGCAGTGTTCTCTCCTGAGCATGAAGCTGGCTTTTGGTGCTGCTTTTGCAACTGCCAATAGCTATTGGTGATCTTTCTCCTCTTCCTCTGGAAGAGTAAAAGGGAGAGAACACAGTCTGACTGGTAAAAAAATGGTATTTTTAGATTCTAAATTAAAAATAAATAACATTGTAGTAAGTCTGACCAGTTGGGTCCTAGAAATATACTCTGTAAAGTATATGATAGTCTAATCACTGTGCTGTACACCTGAAACTAACATAAAATAATACTGACTGTAAACTAATTAAAGTATTTTTTTAATTTAAAAATAAATAAATGATGTCCAGTAGAGGGAGGGAAAGGAAAAGTTCAAGAGGAAAGTGGATGCACAACTGTAAGATGAGAGACTGCTCTGTATTTTTATTTGGATAATATAACAGATAGAGTCCAATTTCCTGAAACAAGATATGGTCTATCTTAAAGATGCCTACGAGCCAAAAGAACACACTGCTCACACAAATAACATGTAATCTTAGCATTCTCACAAAAGCTATAAATGTTCTACCTCAAGGTAAACATTCTAATTAGTCTGCAAAGTGACTTTTCTGAACACCACCAGCAACTCTGCTCACTCACCACCACATCCCCACACGGTAAAAATGCGGCAAACGCAGAGCAAGGACAGAAGTAGCTGGTCCTGTAAAGCTTGACTGAGACAAGTACCAGGCAGAAGCCACAGAGGCAAAAAGAAAAAGGAAAAAAAATTGTCCTTGGAAGTGCAAGCACTTCTGCAGAACAATTAACTTAATTAACCAGACACCATGAATATTCATAAGGCCGTTAATGTCTCCCACATCTAAACAGATAAACGTGATGTAATGACTTCCTAGTCAAGCATATCTAAAATTCTCATGAAGACTGCACCTACACTTTGGTTCTATGCCCGAAATATCATAGAAATTAACAGTCCCATGGCAATATTTTATTTTCCTCAAATTAATTGGGAAGCATGAATTTATTTATGTGAACTCTATAGGAATATATGGTTTTGCAGGATGGGTATGCAGATTAAGCCTGTTTTACAACAACTGGATTGCTTGTTAAAAATTTTTATGTTCTCAGGCTTTTTTCTCCATCCTCTCCCCCAACCCACACCCCACATGCACACCCTTTAATCTGAATCTCTCTGTATAGTTCCTTAGCACCAGTTCCCATAGCAACAAACACCAATGCTAATGGCCAGCAGTTCAAATATAGGCTTCTCCACATCTGATCCATTTGAGTCTGACCATAATTCAGCAGCTTAGTCTGCTGGCTCAGTGTAGTAATTTACTAAACACTATCCCTCTGGGTGTCTCTCTCCAGGAGGCAAATGGCTTCAAAGGCAAACTGTCTTCTACGTTCAGCTTAGAAACTTCCTGCCTAGCCCTTGTTCTCACTAGTGGGCATGGAGCCCTCATGTTAAATACTGCCTGCACGTGACTTCCTCCTCCTGTTCGATGGAATTCATAAGCTGGAGCTCCTAGACAGCGACCAGAGTTCTGGCAACAGGCTGTATCTTATAAACAATAGGTATTTAGTTGGCATTTCTACATATCCACTCTATACAGAAAATGCTTTCAAAATCAGAAATACACTTAAGTGCATAAAACTTGATGCTGCTCCTTTATAAAATCTAAGTTGCATATTAACAAGATAAGGATAGCCACCAGTTTTTCCAGCTAGCAATTCACTTTATGTCAAATGCGTACCTGGGGGGACACCCATCTTGCCACTTTTAATGCTCAGGAGTTCACGCATGACCTCAGAAGCTATGAATAAAGACGGTGACCCAAGTGCAACCACTGTGCACAGAGGAAATGCTGACATAGCTCCACTGTTATAGACAGAGTTACTAAAATGGCACAAAATGACCTTTTTGGTCAACTTGGCTGGCCCAAAATGCATCTTCTATTTTTCCTTTCTGAGTTCAGGTTATCTTGTTCTCTTCTAGTTCAAGACCACCACAGGCTTTTCTCTATACGGCTCACAATTATCGGGGTGTATCCAAATATCCTTGTAAATTCTCGTGTGTGTGACAGACTTTATATTCTAAAAGAACATCTGTCCATCTTTTGTTCTTTGTCAACACTAAGTATGCTGAAATTGACACTAAATGAATGTGATTACCAAATAAATAAAACACTGACTTTTCTCAATCATGTGCATCATTTTCACAGGAAACAATAGTTCTGCTTTTCTTTAAAGATAAGGTCTGATTTTTATTTTTAGTGAACAGAAATAATCACTGTCCTTCACTATTGTTTGTTTAAATAGTAATTTTGGAGAAGTGACCCATATAGCATCATCAACTTGCAAAAGACATTTTCCTCCCTTCTGGAGGCCTGTGTGCTCCAGCTGTTCTCCCTCTGTCTGACCCCCGTGTTCTCCTGCTCCCTTCCCCTAATCACCAGTCTTCCCGGAACAGGCTCCCAGCAGGCTGCTCCCACACCCTGCGCCTCCCATTGTTCTCTACTGTTTATCAAGCACCACTCAGAGCCCGGGAGCCACCACAGTTTGGGCCTCATTTGGCATTCTTGTCACCCGACAAAGGGGCCATTTTCTATTCCTCAGCACTCCTGGGTTTTGCCTTGGTATTACTTTTGTAGGCAAAAATGAAACAGAACAAAAGAAAAACGAAAACAAAAAAACTCATTCTCCCTCTTTTCAGGCCAGATACTATGGACCCATTTTCAGGCTTCATTCAACTGTTACTTACTCTATCACACTGTCTTTACATTCATTCACTTAATTAAACTTAATGATTGGGTGTTCACTGTGTCACATTGTATCCTAATTGCTGGGGAGACAGAAGTCAGAATAAATCCCTTGGTGTTTTCAGGGTTATCTGCTTGTACTTTGGCTACAGGGATTAGCACATTTCTACCTCACATGAAACTGTAAGCCATTGGAGCAGAATGGTCCTGTTTTGAAATTCCATTATCTGGGACTATGTGATCATCGGACCTTTATATGGAAAGGTAGAACAATAATAACCCCATTTACTGATCTGTTCACTACGTATAAGACCCTCTGCACATACCACCTAATTCAGCACTATGACAGTCTTGTAACTAACCAGGTGATCACTACATGGGTTATCTCCCCTTCATGGATTAGGAAAATGAGGCTCAAAGAAATGAAATGAAGCGTACAAGTCTCACACTTGCTAGTAGAGATGCCAAGCTCAGGTCTTTCAGGCTCAAAGTCTATGCATTTAACTCTGTTACACTGTCTAGGCTACGATGCAAAACAGGGAGTGACAGAAGGAGAGGCTCCATTTGGCACATCCCTGGCCATTCCCTTGCCTGCTGGTATGACGCCGAGGGGGAGCTGTGCCCGGACAGGAGTCAGGATGCTGTCTGCTTCCATGCCCACGCTCTTCTGGGCTCTGAGAAGTAAAGCATGGGCTACTTCACTGGCAAAGCCATCTCCCCCAACACAGACAACACTAGAAAACAAGAAATTAGGTAAAACAATGCAAAACTTCAAAGTAACTGATAATAAATTCATGAGATCTAGACTTCAAATTATTAATCTCATACACTCTACTTTTAAAGAGTTTGTTTATTTATTTATTTATTTATAGAGAGGGGAAGGGAAAGAGAGAGGGAGAGAAACATCAATGTGTGGTTGCCTCTTGTGCACCCCCTACTGGTGACCTGGCCTGCAACCCAGGCATGTGCCCTGACTAGGGATTAAACCAGTGACCTTTTGGTCTGTAGGCCGGCACTCCATCATCCACTGAGCCACACCAGCCAAGGCCAATCTCATACATTCTGTGCGCGTGATTACTATACACCTTCAAACATTTTAGCATGTGTCAGTGGGTAAGAAGGCACTAGCTCTGCACTGGTAAAGTTTACTCCATGAATGTAACACCTGGATGATTTTAAGTGGGTGAAGAGGTATTAGAACACTGGAAGATGTGAATTTATATCTGACCTGCCTTTTGCTCTATTACTATCTAAAAACATAGTATTTTCATTTTGTTTGTTAGTTAATAGTGAGGTGCAATTCATTTCACTGATACAAACAAAAAAATCATAAAGTCCTGCTGATTTTCAATATAGCTCTGAAAAGACAGCAATAAAAGTCATGTAAAATATGAGGCTCTAACTTTAGAGACTGCTAGTTATCATTAGTATATGTGTGTAGTGATGACAAACCTGAGCTGGTTTTCATCTCCTGGACATCGCTGCTATTTGTCGGTTCTAAAACCAGCATTACTACCCTCTGACCCTCGCTGGTACTGCTAATCTTTTTTAAGGTTTCATGATAAGTAGACGACTGGGGTGTGGAAATGAGACTCCATGAAAGTAAGTATATATCAGTCACTTGTTTCATAATCATTTGTATTTAAAAGGTTCAAAATAACCTTAGGTGAGTAGCAAAATCACCTCAACTTTCACAAAAGGAAGGTTTTGTTACTGAAAGCAGGTGTCACAACTCAAGGTGGACAGGGATGGAGCCAGAGTGGGAGAGTCTGTTCAGTCTAAAGGGAGAGGCACTTCTCAGTCCCCGCCCACTCACATCCTGTGGGAGGCGGGCCTCCAGGACAGCGTCTTCTGTCGTTTTTCTAGAGAAGCCACAGATTCTGGTTTCAGGTTGGATCTCCTAATCTGTAAACACTAGCATTTTATGTATTGAAAAACTCTATGTGCCAAACAAAACCACCTGTGGGCCATAATCAGTAGGGGTTACTGGCTTCCTAAGCTCCAGAAGTCTGTGAATCCCAAGGCTAAGGGAACGTCTTCCATCACCTCCCTCCACCTTGCTCTCAGCCTGACAGCCCCTGCACCTGGCTGAGGTTAGCAGCCCCATGGCTGCGCAGAGCCTGGGCGATGCAGGTCCACTCCAGATAGAAGAGGCTCCAGGATATACAATATGACCCAGGCCATTTGTGGCTTGGGTATTATTGTATTTCTGAACTGAGTACATGGGTTCACATAGTGGCCACTGATTCAGCAAATAGTGATTATATCTACTGAGGGCCAATTTTATGTCAGATGATACATTGGCTCTTTTCTATTAAATTCTTCAGAATTCTGAAAAGTACACATTAACTTCATCTTTATAAATGGGAAAGCCGAGGTTTGATTTGACT